CCCTCAGCTCTTCAGCTCAAGGCTAGCGCTCTACCACTTGAGCCACAGTGCCACTTCTGGCTTTTTTCTTTTTGCTTATGTGGTGCTGGGGAATCGAACTCAGGGCCTCATGCATTGCGAGGCAAGCGCTCTACCACTGAGCCACCTTCCCAGCCCTGTATAGTATCTTTACAATAAAAAATTAAAAAAAAGAAAATACATGGTTTCAAGTCATACTTATTGATCTGTAAGTTACAGCTTTCATTGGCGTATTTTTAGCTCATTTTGTCCTTCTTCCTATGCCAGGACTGTGGTTTGAGGATGGCACTGGGCATAAACTGTAGACCTGACCTGGGCAGCCTCTGACCTGGTGATGCGTGAAGTTGTGAAGGAGAAGCCTGAGCTGTAGTAGTGACACGGGTCAGGAATGTACAATGTCTGCAAGGAAAGCCTCTGGCAGGAAGTGGAACCAGCCAAGGGGAGAGACTTCTTGTGGCCAGGCTGTAGGGGTGAGGCTTCCCGTTAGCCCCGTCCCCTGCGCCCCAGGGCTGGACAGAGCTGCACAACTCTGTTACCCCATGGGTTTAAGTCTTGCTCTGGCTCTACCCTTCCTGCTCCCTTTGGGCATTGCATCTTTTCTTTTTTACTTTACAGGGGCTCACAGCTTAGAGATTGCCTTGCGTCTCAGTAAAGACTGAACTTAGATTTTGTTTTAGATTTAGTGTTGAACAGTTGATTATGGGGACTCTTGGAAATGGATTGGATATATTTCTCATTATAAGACAGAGACAGCCTTTTGGGGGTAAGGGTGAATGTTTAAGGATACAAGTTTGGGTGTCAAGTTGACAAGAGGTGGGCTTAATCTTCACTGCAACTTAAATAACGATGCCTCGGGGATTAGCAAAGCACATCTCTGGATGTGTCTGTGATGCTTTCCAGAGACAGTTGGATCCTGAGCTCTGACCCAGTGAGAGGCCTGGTCTCTTGATGGGTTCGTATGTGATGGTATTATTGGGAGGTGGTGAGAGACCAGAGATGGGGCCTGGTGGAAGAAGTTCTGTCACTGGGGGCGTGCTGTGGGGCCTTCTCCTACCGCCCTTCCCCCTGCTCCTGCGGGTGAGGTGAACTGCGCTGCTCGGCCAGGTCCTGCTTGGCACCATGCACTGACACTTCCCAACTGTGAGCCGCAAGAATAAACCAGTGTGGTATAATTTGTCATTTTTTAATGTACCCACACTTTTGAAAAATTTTATCTTTATTATCTGTATGTAGTTGTACAAAGGGGTTTCAATTCAACATGTCAGTTTGTAAGTGCAATGCATCTGGATCAGTGTCACCCTTCATCACCTCCCCTCCCCCAGTCCTCCTAACTCTACCCCTCCTTCTGTTTTCTTAATTTTGTAGGATACACATTGAACTTTCTACTTCATTCTCCCTCTTTCTTCACTTTACTTCCCTACCCCTTCCCCTTAACCCCACTCCCTGCTTTCATGTAAAATACACCCATTCTTTTATACCACAATTATACTACAGATTAATTACTTACCATTTTTGTACAAGTTATGTTTTTAACTGGAAAACTAGTAATACTTTATACTTAGCATAGAGTTGAAAAAAACAACAGAAATCCAACCTCTCCAGTTAACACATCATATAACTATGGTGTAATGATGAAAACTTAACAGATAAGCATTGTTATAATACTCTTTTCCAGACTATTTGATTTTATGTTTTTCTTTTCCACTTGTATTTTTCCTACAGTCCATAATTCAATCTGCAGTCTCTTTGTTGTCTTTAGTTCTTTGATCTTCTTTGATCTATGATAGTGTCTCTGTTTTCATTTGTTTCATGATCCTGAGGGCTTGGAAAAGTACTAGTTAGTTATTTTATAGACTAACCTACATTTTGAGTTTGTCTTCCATATCCATAATCAAGATTATTTATTCCTGACAGAGTACCACAGAAATGATATGCTCCTTCCCAGTGCACATGATGATGTCAGCATCTTAGTACTGAGGCTAAACTTTAGCTAAAGTGTGATCACTTGGCTAAGGTGCTTACTTGCTAGGTTATTATCACTTATCACTTGGTTATTCACCAGGTTGTTCCACAACATAGTTACATTTTCTCTTTGTAAACAATAAATACCTTGGGGTAGATGCCTTGAAACGATGCAGTTGTTATGTTTCTCCACAAAATTTTACCTGTTTTTAAGACAACTATCAGTAGAATTTGCCTGCAAAAGTTATTTATTCTGCTCTTCTAATGGTGATTCTTTCTCACTTCCCTTTTATATTTTTAGCTAAAATTTCTGAAGAAGAGTGGTCTCCTTTCCCATACATTTATCTGCTCAGTTATTCTATCAATTTTGTTTTCTGGGTTATAATCCAAGACACTTTCACTCAGGTTTTTACCTCTCATGCACAAACCCCTGGAGAGTTTGCTCACAAAATGAAAGAAATCAAAAAAAGAGAAAGACTTCAGAAAAAGAGTAGAGGACAAATGACAAAAGAGAGGAGGACAGTTCCTGAAATGAGAAATCCCAGATGATAGCCAGGCAGTCAGACCAGATCCTAAGCAGACAAGAGCAGGAAATGGGGAGCTCTAGAAAGGCTGCCTCCTGGGAAAGCAGTGGTGTAAAGATTGTTGGCTGTCTACTGAGAAAAGATGGGCAGGAGTAGAAGAAAATCAGTGATAGTAACTAAGAAAGAAGGGAAAAGGTGATTTTAAAGGGACAAAAAAATTGTACAAGACCATAAATGTTATCATGATGTACTATGGTACACTATGTGGCTTACTAGCAAAAAATATATTAAAACAATATAACTTAATAAAAAGGATTGGTTTGTATTGGGAAGGTGAGAGGAGGAAGAGGGTCAGAAGGTTGGTAGAGATGTGTAGAATGACCCGTTTTCATTAGCGTTTACCACACCTCTATTTCCATCGAGGTACCTACCTGGGTACCTTAAAAAAGGACTATGTCTCTCTGCTGTGATGTGTGACCTGTGGCCTAAATTCAAGACAAGTGTTCAGTAGAGCTGTGAGGAGACCGCATAAAAGGCATGGCAAAAGCCATCATTCTCTTGCTACTAGTCTAATGTCACTGTGATGACTGGAGCTTCGCCTCCACCTTGTGGAATAAAGTACATACCAAAGATGGCAACTGCAAGTCTTGGAAGGGTCCCAATACATTATATATATATATATATATATATATATATATATATATATATATATATATATATATATCATTTGTATTTCATTAGAAAATAACTCCAATGGGATATTAAGGAGAAGCAGTATAAATGTATGTTTAGTCACATTGAGATGAGTATTAGGAGAAACTGAATTGTTGAAAGCAGTTGTCTTTGGCAGTAGTAACTGGGATAAAGGCAAATGACTACTATTTTCTCTTATAACCTTTTCTGTAACACTTGACATTTAAAACATGTTATTGTAAAGGTGATATACAGAGGGGTTACAGTTCCATAAATCAGGTAATGAGCACATTTCCTTTTGAACAGTGTCATCTCCTCCCTCATTCTCTCCCAGTTTTTTCCTTCCCAACTTCTCTCCCGCCAAGTTGTATAGTTCATTTCCAACACAGTGTCTAGTGGGTTTCACTGCTGAATTGGTTCACCCTTTGTCCCTTCCATTTCTGTGCTTCTCCCCACCCCCCCCAATCAGATAAACTTATATGTAAGACAAAGGGTACAAAAATAAAAAACAGAAACAAAAGGGAATCAACCAAAGGAAAAAAGGAAAGAAAAAAAAGACATTTTAAGTTACATATATCTTCAACAAAATTATATAATATTTATACTTTTTAGTGTTTTCTTTTTTAAAATTTTATCGTAAAGATGTGGTACAGAGGGGTTACAGTTACGTGCGTAAGGCACTGAGTACATTTCTTGTCGAGCATTGTTCCCCTTCCCTTGTTGTTGTTCTCACTGTTCCTTCCCTCCCCCACCTCTCTCTTTTCTCCCCCCTCCACAAGTTGTAAAGTTCACTTCCAATATATTGTCTTGTGGGTGTCATTGTTGCAATGGATTATCCTGTGTCCTTGTTTCAGCATTTTGTTATTCTTTAATATTTATGGCTGCATGCTCATTGTAAAAATCTGAACAAAATAATACAAAGTAAAAGTTCCAGTTTTCTCTAGCATTTTTTTTTTGCCTTTTCTTCTTGTCAGTTCTTTCCTCCCCAAGGCCAACTGCTGTTTGGTGTTTTTCTCTCCAGACCTTTCTCTAATACAACCAGATAGTATATGTAAGCACGCATAGTTTTTTTTTTTTTTAACTTTTTTAAAGTAGATTTTAACTAAAATAATATTCATCAGAAAATGCCTAAATTTAGATCTTGTTTATGTTTTTAGAATTCAAGATTTAAGCATGCAGTTAAAAAATCAACAAAGTGAATTTCAGAGAGTACAGAAAGAATTTAGTCATTTGGAATGTGAGTTAAAGACTAAACAAAGACAATCACAATTCTTCAGGTAAGATTGCTTTTAAAGAATTGAAAATGATAAAGACTGAAAACATAAGTTTAATGCTAGCTTTTTAAACATTCACACACACTTTAGTAATGTGATTTCTATGTAATCTAGTATGATTAACACAATAGAAATAGTTTCAGTCTTCAATTTCTTGGTATATTGACCTCCAGAGCCATCATCCAGTGATGAAAAGTTGTTTGTTTGTTTGTTTGTTTTGTTCAGTCGTGGGGCTTGAACTCTGGACCTGAGGGCTGTCCCTCAGCTCTTCAGCTCAAGGCTAGCGCTCTACCACTTGAGCTACAGTGCCACTTCTGGTTTTCTGGTGGTTTATTGGAGATAAGAGTTTCCTGCCTGGGCTGGCTTTGAACCATGATCCTCAGATCTCAGCCTTCTGAGTAGCTAGGATTACAGGTGTGAGCCAATGGTGCCCGGCTCTTGAAAGTTTTCTAATGACAATGACAGACCCCCTAAATGTCAACATATCCAACATAAGTGGTGCTACTCTGCTCTCATGTATGTTATTCAGTGCTCTTATGAGACTAGAAACTAGTTCATTTACCCTCTAAAATGGTTTTGAATATATCTAGTATATTTTTGAGGAGCATGGTTCCTTTGCATTTGAGTAACTTTTAGGTCCTAAAAAAAGGGAATGTTAGGGCTGGAAAGGTGGCTCAGTGGTAGAGTGCTTGCCTTGCATGCATGAGGCCCTGGGTTTGATTCCTCAGCACCACATAAGCAAAAAGCCGGAAGTGGCGCTGTGGCTCAAGTGGTAGAGCACTAGCCTTGAGCTGAAGAGCTGAGGGACAGTGCCTAGGCTCAGAGTTCAGGCCCTACGACCGGACCCCCCAAAAAAAAATAAAAATAAATAAATAAATAAATAGAATGTTAAACCAATATAGTAAACAGTACGATTCAGAAAAACAATTTAATAGCTGGGTGAGTATTCTGAATGTTTGTTTTTGTTTTCAGCCTTCCGATTATTACCAGAAACATTTTTAAAAACATTCTCTGGGCTAATTATTTTTTAATGTATTATCCAATGCTGACCTACTGAACACCTGCACTTCATAAAGGCCTTGCATGTAACTGAAACTCAATAAATAAATGAATGAGTAAATGAGTTAATAGTCTGTTCGCAATACAAATAGCCTTATTTTGGTGGTACTAAGGTTTGAACTCAGATCCTGGGCTTGCTAGGCAGGTACTCTCACCACTTGTACTGTATCTCAGCCTTTTTACTTGAGTTATTTTTCAGGTAAAGTCTCACATGCTTGGTGAGGGCTGGTCGTCTTGCTTACCTGTGTCTCCCATGTAGCAGGACTGCTGGTACATCTCACCACACCTAGCTTCTTCATTGAAGTAGGGTCTTTTTGCCTTTTGATTTCCTCTTCCCAAGTAGCTGAGATTACAAGTGCATACCATCACAGTTGGCCAGATGTCTGCTCTTGTTCTTTGGTCCTTTCTCAGAAATCGGTAGGATAGTAGCACCTTGGTGGCCTCAGCTCTCCAATTTATCCAGGATCATCAGTTTTTTTGCTTTTTGGTGTTTTTTTTTTTTATTTGACAATTAAGTTTCCAACACATGGATTCTGCAAACACTGAAACCATAGCAACTCTCATGAATGGGTGAAGGTCAATATTGTGGGAGAGGCTTTATTATAAAAACAAGCTTTCTTTAACACTTAGATTCTGCAGTAGTTTTGGCCTAACACTACTAAGGAAATCCCAGCTGTTTGCTTACTAATGCCACTGTAGATGGTAGAATTGACTAGATTTCAAGTATGTGGAGTGTTTCATGTAATTACAGTTGCTGTAGGATGGTATAAAACTGATACAGTTCATCCTGTCATTCAGTTTTGCATGTCAGTTGTCATAAAATATCTAAAATTTGCTTTTATTTTATATTTTAGTTTTGTCACTATTTTGGGTTGTGCTTGGGATTGAGCCCAGGGCCTCATACATGCTAGGTAACCATTCTAGCATAGGAAAAGGTACACTGGTAAAAAAAAAAAAAAAAAAAAGTCCTGGATAAAAGTCTTCTATATAAGTGTGATTGCAGTTGCTTTTTGCAGTCTGTGGCTTTCTTTCATTTTCTCAGTGGTATTTTCTTTTTAGCATATGTCATCTATATACAAGAGGTATGGGCAATTTTAACATTTCCGTACATGTAGACAATGTACCCCTCCCTGTCTCACTCTCCCTGACCCGCTCCCCTCTTTTTTTGGGGGGGGGTCTGGTCGTGGGGCCTGAACTCTGGGCCTGGGCGCTGTCCCTCAGCTCTTCAGCTCAAGGCTAGTGCTCTACCACTTGAGCCACAGTGCCACTTCCAACTTTTTTCTTTTTGCTTATGTGGTGCTGAGGAATCGAACCCAGGGCCTCAGGCATGCAAGGCAAGTGCTCTACCACTGAGCCACCTTCCCAGCCCCACCCTCCACCCTGCTTATTATTTTAAAATAATTTCATTGTTCTTTTTTTATGAATGCAAACAAACTATTTCCACTATATTTATGAAATATAGTTAATCTGTTTTCTCTTATGGATTATGCATATATTTAAGATATATTTAAGAATGGACCAAGCCAAAATCATAATGATTTCTTTCCTATAGTTTCTTCAGAAAGTTTTGTTGTGATCCATTGGAGTTAATTTTTGTGTATGAGTATGGTAAGAATCTAAATTCGTCTTATTTTGTGAGGATATTGGATGTTGCAGCATGCTGAGAAGACTCTGCTTTCCCCACTGAAGGTCTGTTCTCCTGAGCAGTGTAGGTTTTTGTAAAATTTAAAATCCAAGAATGTAACCTTCCAGCTTTCTTCTTGATTTTTAAGATTGTTTGGGCATTATGGACCCCTTGAATTCCTGTAAGCATTTTAGAGTCAGCTTGTCAAAACTGCTAGGCACACGGCTGAGATTTTAATATAGTGTAGAATCTATAATCAACTTGGGATGCTAACAATGCATGGAACCTTTTAATCTGTGAACATAATATATTTTTCTATGGAGATAGTTAATTTGCTTAAAAATGTTTTGGGGTTTTTTCACTTCTTTATTAAATTTGTTTCTAAGTGTTCTATTCTTTTTATGTTATTATGAATGGCAGTTTTCCTAATCTTATGTTGGGAATTGATTATTGGTAGTATTCAGAAATAAAATTTTCCTGTGTATGGCTCTTACACCCTGCTATTTTGATGAACTTACTAGTTTTTGTGTGTGTTGGTTAGGTCTTCTACATTGTGTAGGCTTATAGACAACAGAGTTTTCTACTGTTCCAAGTCCTTTTACCTCTTGTCATATGATTGTATTTACACTTAAAACCATCAGTTCTCACACCTACTTCCAGGTTGTTAATCTAGGGCTCTATGAGCCAGGATTACCAGCCTTGTTTATCTCTTCACAGCTGGTGATTTGCCTCATATTCCACAAAGGTCAGTTAACAATTCAGACTGATTTACTGTGAATGGAATGGCGCCCAAGTTTCAGAATCTCTCCTCAAGTCTTCCTGCAAAGTTCTGGACAGGCCCCTGGTGAAAGGAGGTGGTTTATTCCTACTTGTTTAAAAATCATCTTTCCAAGTTGGGTACCAGTGACTCATGCCTGTAATCCTAGTTACTCAGGAGGCTGAGATCTGAGGATCCTGTTTCAAAGCCAGCCCGGGCAAGAAAGTCCGTGAGACTCTTATCTCCAGTTAACCACCAGAAAACCAAAGTAGCCCTGTGGCTCAAGTGGTAGAGTGCTGACCTTGAGCTGAAGAGCTCAGGGACAGCGCCCCCACCCAGAGTTCAAGCCCCGAAACCAACAACAACAAAAAACAAAAAACATCTTTCCAGTCTACTTTCCCCTCTGTTCCACTTCAAGGTCAGTGGGGGAGTTACAGGCTTGGGAGAGTCTTAGTAAGACAAAGTTGACTTGGGAATACATCACTCAGTTGCCCTTTGAAAAGAAAATTTAGAATAGCTTCTGTAAAAAGCAAAGGAATCAGATTAAACATTCAGATGTATACAGGCTTGAACTCCGGGACTGGGCACTATCCCTGAGCTTTTTTTGCTCAAAGTTAACACTCTGCCTACAACTTGGGCCACAACTCCACTTCTGGCTTTTATTTTTGGTGATTAATTTGGAGATAAGAGAGTTACAGACTTTCCTGTCCAAGCTGCTATGAACCATGGTCATCAGATCTCAGCCTCCATATTAGCTAGGATTACAGGAGTGTACCATCAGCACCCTGCAAATTTTTTAAATTAATGAAACAAAAGCAAACTATTTCAAGGGGCTGGGAAGGTGGCTCAGTGGTAGAGCACTTGCCTTGCATGCCTGAGGCCCTGGGTTCGATTCCTCAGCACCACATAAGCAAAAAGAAAAAAGTCGGAAGTGGCACTGTGGCTCAAGTGGTAGAGCGCTAGCCTTGAGCTGAAGAGCTGAGGGACAGCGCCCAGGCCCAGAGTTCAGGCCCCACGACCAGACCCCTCAAAAAAAGCAAACTATTTCAAAATAAAAGAAGCACTGCTCACTTCAGTATACTAAAATTGGAATGATTCAGAGAAAATTAGCAAGGTCCCTGTTCAAGGATGACACACAAATTTGTGAAGCAGTCCATATTTTAAAGGTTGATAGATAAAAAATATAAATAAAGCAAATTATAACAATATTTTTTTGAATTACATCAGAGCAAATTCACTAACAAAATTTTTGTTTATTCAGTTTTTAATCCATTTTTACTTGAATATATTTGTTTATACAAAGGGGTTTTTATTGTGACATTTCTGTGTATTCAAACAATGTAAGAGCTGGGTGCTGGTGGCTCACGCCTGTAATCTTAGCTACTCAGGAGGCTGAGATCTGAGGATTGAGGTTCAAAGCCAGCCCAGGCAGAAAAGTCCCTCTGAGACTCTTATCTCCAGTAAACTACTCAAGCCGGAAGTGGTGCTATGGCTTAAATGGTAGAGCACTAACCTTGAACACAAACAGACTAAGAGTCAGCACCCAGGCCCTGAGTTCAAGCCCTAGCACAGGTAAAACAAACATACAAACACAATAAAGATCTTAAAGTATTTGATAATCCAATGAAGATGAGTTAATTATTCAAATACATTGGAGAAAGATCTGTTTCCTAATTTTACAAAAAACATTAACACCATTGAATATAAAAATTATAAAATACTACTTCAAGGGTGATACTTAACGTGTCCATTTGTTTCAGATTTAAAATAAAGTTTAAAATTGGTCATTTTCAATGGACACAAGAAGTTTTTTTCTTTGTTGCTGTTGTTTTTTTAATGTACTATGTGATTTTTTTTTGTTTCTTTTGTATATTCTTCCCCCTGTGGTATAACCCCTGTTGTCACTGTATTTGGTTCTGGTGCCCTGCATCTTGTATATACATATTTTTTAATTTCAGGAGGGGAAGGGAAATAAAATGCTGAAATAAGGATACAGGTTGACCCAAGACACTATGTTGAAAATGAACTTTACAATTTGGTAGGGGGGAGAGGGAGGAGTTGGGGTGGTGGGGAGGGAAGGGATAGTAGGGGAAAACAAAGGAGAGGGTAACAATGCTCGATAGGAAATGTACTCATTACCTTACTCATGTAACTGTAACCGCTTGTACAGTATCTTTACAATAAAAAATTTTTAAAATTGGTCACTTTCTAAGAAAACTTGAAATCCCAAAAACCTTATAGTCATGCATAAAGATATTGATAAGGATTTTTCTAGATCTGACAATGCTGAATATTTATACTATCTACTAAGTTTTAAAAGACCTTTCTAGGAAGTGGCGCTGTAGCTCAAGTGGTAGAGCGCTCTCCTTGAGCTGAAGAGCTGAGGAACAGCGCCCAGGCCCAGAGTTCAAACCCCACGACCGACCAAAAAAAAAAAAAGAAGACGAATAAAAGACCTTTCTAAGCTATTAATTTTTTTAAAGTCTCTTGCTATGGGCTGGGAATGTGGCTTAGTGGTTGAGTGCTTGCCTAGCATGTATGAAGCCCTGGGTTCAATTCTTCAGTACTATATACACAGAAAAGGCCTTAAGTGGCTCTGTGGCTCAAGTGGTAGAGTGCTAGCCTTGAGCAAAAGAAGCTCTGGGATAGTGCCCAGGCTCTGAGTTCAAGCCCCAGGACTGGCAAAAAAAAAAAAAAGTCTATTACCATGTTAAACTAAAAGGCTGTATAATCAATCATCCACACAAACAGCAGAAATACAGTAGCTAAAATTATATGCAAAAATGTATTGTAGAGCTGCTTGAAGAGTCACACCGTTTTCCTATATTCTATGGTTCTAGAGAATTTTATTAACTTGCCAATTTTTAAATGTAGTGAGTTCTCATTCTATAAGCAAATATACACTTTTAACCTATTTTATAGTTATTACTTTTGTGTTCTTTTTTTCCTCTTCAAGAAGTTGAATTGAGTCACCACAAAAAGTGGATCCACTCCCAGCGCATAAAGATTGAGTTTTCTGTCTGTTGCCTTTCTCCCTACAGAAGCATCCATACCCACATTTGCATTTTCCTTTCTGTCAAACATTCTCTAGGCCCTGACTTCCAGGTCTGCAGCGGAATCTCAGCAGCTGCGCCCCAGATACTTTGACTCCACATCCTGGTTTCTCATCCTCACACCTGTGTCATCAGCATCCTTCTCCTCTGTTTTCTGTAATCAGCATCCTCTTAGCTGTGTTTGTGGATTTAATCACCCCCTCAGGTCTGCTCACTGGGGAGACCCTGCTGGCCACACAGAATCACAACCACAGTCTTTATGGAAAATAGAGCTCTTTTAGCCTTTGTGTATATCTGTCCTTTCTAGGACTTTGCTCAAGAAATGCTCCCCTCTCTCCTGTATTTCCGGCCTGTGTTCACTCACATTGTCCACTCAGCTATGCACACTTCCAGTAATTCCCACCCTGTTCAGCCTTCTTACTTCCTCTTCTGTCCATGGTTTTAATAGTTGGTAGCACAGACTTCTGTTGTCTTGTACCTGCTTTCCCACCTAACGCTTCTCGGAGGTCTCTAAGGTCTCCTTCACACCAGCTACAATGGCCTCTTCAGCCTTTGTCTGAAGCCTTCAACCCTGCCTACTACTTTCTTCTTGAAGACCACTGTTTTTTCCTGATATTATTCCTTTGGCTCTTCTTCTAACTCACTGGAAACAGTTCCTTCTTGGGTTTCCTTTTTATTTTTGTCCAGTGTGTGATCCTTAACTCTTTTCACTTCCCCATTCCTCCAGCTGAGAAATGAAGTTTATTTGTCATTTAATTTTCTGTTGATCACAGACTGGTAGATACTAAGGAGATTATAAGGCACGAGAAAGATGTTTCTATCTAATAGATCTTTGTTTCTTCAGAGACATAAATATTGACCAAGCACTCCTCTGGTTGTAGGTATCATCTTTTTGCTGAGAACACCTGTCTGTATCTTGTTTGATGATTAAGGAAACAATAACCAGGATATCTGAAGTAATAAAATAAGATGATATAAAAATAAGTTTATTTTGAACTCTGAGGTATTTGATGAAGCAAAAGTACTAGCTCAGGTACTTTGAAAAGTGTATTACTCCAGGTGTTACACTGCCTGGGTAGCCATGGTACATAGAAGAATGCTGTAAGAGTCTCATTTACTCTCTGACCAAGTTTTCTAAGTTTGGTCTAAATTTTCTAAATTTTGCTCTACCAAATTTTCTTCTTTAAATATTTGATTGGTGAATATAAAAAATAGGATAAATGTAAATGAAGGTAATTATCTTTTTGTAATTAAAATAGTAGCAAAATTGAACTGAGTTGAAATGCTTATATACCCAACGAACTGAGATATTTCTGATTTATGTCTGTTGTCTTAATATAGTATGAACAACACTTTTCCTTTTCAAATTTGTCTTCATTTAGACAGTAGATTGTATGATTATTCTAAAACCATTTTGGATAAATGTGTCCTTTGTTTACTTTATTTTAAAAATTCTAATTTTTCATTACAGTCAAAAATTGTTGGAATACAAATATTTCTGGAATAAGACTCTTTCATTACTTACTGTTACCAAAAGAGAACTAACCAGTATTAAAAATGAAATATATGATAATTTTCAAATCTGGACTTTATTGAAAGAAGAAGTTTCTCTACAAATTAAATCCATTAGTGAAGCAGCTCTAGCAGGTTTGTGATGTACATTTAGAATGTAATTGTACTTTTTTGTAAAAATATTTTAAGTAAATAAATAATACCTCATTGTATTTGGTGGGGCTGGGAACTCACTTTCTAAAACTATTTGTGATTGGCATAGTAGATGAACATTATTATCGATCTACCCTGAACTGTAGTATTTTAGGTTGCTCTAAGATAAGTCATGATATGTCTATCTTGAACTATGGTCAGAAGTCTGATTATTCTGTTAAAGGAACCAATTTGTACTCTTTAAAATGTTTTTCTCTTAATGACTGAGTAGTCATATTAGATCAGCCTCTAACATAATCACTGTAATTATAGACAAAAATAACTATCTGAAAACATTGGCAAATAACAGAATCAAACACACTGAGGAGGGAATGTCAAAAATTGAAACAAGTCTTATTACTAAGTGAAAGATGACATCTGAAAAGGTTACAAGCTCTGTTGTTATGGCTACACAACCTTCTGGAAAAGGCAAAGCCTGGGGTCAGTAAACAGGTCAGTGGTTGTCAGAGGTCCAAGACAGTACAGTGGTGCACACGTTATAATGCATTTGTCAGAACTCACAACAGCAAAAGTGAGCTTGAAACTGTGAATTCTGGCTGATAGTAATAATGTGTCAAATAAGCTAGTAGGAAACATCATTGTAGTGCAGGTTGTGAGTTTGTATGTGCATGTGTGTATATGTGTGTACATGTGTGTGAGGACAAAAAGTACACTTTTACCATGACCAAAAACTCTAAATATTCTAACTGCTTTAGATACTGAAAGAAGGAGAAGGGATTTTTTAAAGACTATTGGATTGAGAGCAGGGTGCAGTTCATTCCATGCATGAAAACAAAAACATCTGGTAGAAATATGTATTCTTTTAGACCTGAGGATTAAAGGACAGAGACAGGGCAGTCAGGACATAGGGGAATATCCTGGAGAAAAGATCCTCAGAGAGCCAGAGCTTAAGTTTTGTATTTAATTCTAATGTCTGGCTTCTCCCTGAAGTACCTGTATATAAAAGGAAGAGTTTATACAACTCACAGAGAACTTGATATTTTAGCAGATACTTCTCTTGGGGCAGACACATCATGCAGTTTGAATTAAGCCCTATGAACTGCTTAGTAAACAAGATTAAAAAAAAGTCAACATTTCTTTGAAGCAATGTAACAGTACCTAGTCTCTATAACCTAATGGCTTTACAGAAGAAATAGAAAAATATGGCTCATCCCTGGAAAGGATAGCCAGCCAGCAGAGACCAATTTCTGATTGTCCTGTATGAGTCAGAAGCTCAGAGGTAGAAATGCATACACATGGATCATGTGTTTAGCTCACCAACAAGAGCTTAGAGGACAGGACAGATGGGTGTGTGGGCTTGAAGTTTTATTATTTTCAGAATGTTTTTCTCCTTAGTGCTGTGAACACAATCAGAGCCCCAGGGGGCGATGTACAAAAGTATAAGTAGACGCAAAATTTGACAGGTGCAGAAGCTTGCCATTCATAGCTTCTTTGATCACTTTGAATACACTCTACACCTAGCAGTTCTTATAAATACATAAACATGCCCATTCACAAATTAGAAGTTTAAGAAAATACTCTATATCTTAAGGCCAGCCTAGGCATAAAAATCTGTGAGACATTAATTAGCTAACAAAAACAGAAGTGGAGGTGTGATTCAAGTGGTAGAGCACCAGCTTTGAGTAAAAAGCTTTGAGTAAAAAGTAAATATGAGAGCTTGAGGCCCTGAGTTGAAGCCCTAATACCAGCACACAAAAAATAGGCTTATTTTGATATTCTGTTGCAGATGTTTCTTCCTTTTGGATGTTTAGCTAATGATATATTAGAAATTGTTTAGAAGCTTTACTCAGCCTTTATATAGACACAGAACAGGTTTATTTAACTCCTATTCAAGGGCATCCTCGTAGAAATTATGGAGGCAATAGAAAAGGAATAAGCAACTATCTCTGCACTGAAATAACTTACAGATCACATTTATATATTTTATATATTATTTATATATATTTTCCCACATGCAAGTGGGAAAAATGGAAGACCAAGGCCACATCCCTATCAAGTAGAAAAGGTTTCTTTGTCAAGGCAGCATCTGAACCACGATAGACCATGCATACAAGGACAGGAGGAGCTTCTTCACAAGGTGGTAGGGAGCCTGGTGCGGTTCCTCATTTCTGAACTTCAGACTGGGACACGAGGAGGAGACTGTACAATTGGCGAGTGTAGGATTGGATTTTGACACCAGGACACCCATGGGTGTGGGAAGTTTCTCCTAAACCTCACCTCTGCTGGGGTCCATGCTAGGAGCACTGTCACCCCCATTCTTTTGGACATTGTGCTGTACTTTTTCATGAACACATGGGAATGGAGTATATTTTACAAATATATTTATATTATAGTCTTGTTCTCTTAATGTCAGATAGAAAGTCACATTGACACTAGCAGTTATTTTAGACAGTAGTGTTCGCTAACAGAATCAGCTTGCTAACCTAAGCAGAGTCATTTTGGCAAATGATAAGTAGGTGACAGCGTGTGTTCCCTGCAGTGTCATTGTGACTTAAGCATAGACACATGCAGTTACCACATGGTACGGTTTATTCCACCATAAGAAACTACCTCTAAGGCTACAAAAATGCTCAGGAAGACTTTAAATATGAGGACAATTACACTATGTCATATGTGTGTCTATGCTTTGTTTTTGCAGTGCTAGAATGGAACCCATGGCTTTGCATGTGCTAGGCAAGTACTCTGCCATGGAGCTAGCTTCTATCCCTATCTTCTTTTTTTTTTCTGCTTATGTGGTGCTGAGGAATCGAACCCAGGGCCTCATGCATGCAAGGCAAGCGCTCTACCACTGAGCCACCTTCCCAACCCCCGTATCCCTATCTTCTTTTAAGACTTTGTATGCTCCTATATTGGTAGTTATGGGTGTGAGAAATGGGTGTGTGGCCATGCAGTTGTAGAAGTAGATTAGCTATTCCTAAAGGAATGGGAAATCCACAGAAAGTAACCATTGGACTAAGGTAGAAACCTATGCATTTGGATCCTGCCAATATATTTCTCTAGGTTTCCCCCATTTGAATAAAAACTGAAAAGTCCTCTGCCCCAAGTCTGTGGCCCCACCACATTCTCCTTGTCCTCTGCCCCTTGTCTGCAGTCATGCCACCTTTTCCTTGGACACCGCCTTTCCACCCAACCATCACCTGCCCTTAGGATGTTCATTTCTGGGCTGTGGTCTAGCTCACTGCTTTACTTTCCCTGTGATTATTGGCTGGCCATATTGTCTCTGCCACTAGGTCTGTACTATGTCTCTACTTGTGGCCTTTCCTGGTCCACGGAGCCATAGTCTCTGCCATGATAGGCCCAAGATCAATAAACCAAGACAGTCTCTTCAGAAAGCCATTCATATATGAACCATTGTACAGCCCCGATGGTACTAACCAAAGAAGGGAATGTCAAGTAAGCTCTAAAATAGCGAATTGCCCTTATTTATTCAGCACATGTGGTTATCCAAGTGTTATACTATTGTTACTTATTATATGTATGTTCTCAGCTTTTTGTGGTGGTTTACAGCAGCAGTGATGGTGATTCTGATGGAGGATACACTCCATACATTTTTTTTCAATTTTTATAAAATTAGCACACAAATCTAAGAGATTAAGTTTAATTATTAAGCTTTAGTAGACAGAATAATGACAGGCAATTGATGTGGTCTCATTTTGAGGGATAGAGTGCTCTTAAAATCGTTATATTAACTAATAAATACTTTTATGACTCTTGCTTATTCATTTTAAATACTACAACTTCCTAATCCCTTCCTTCCCCCACCCTGCCACCTTTCTTCACAATTTCTGTAGAATGACTCCTTGTGGCTGTCCAGAAGTTCTTGAGCCAGCCCATGCTAGCACATTTAAATTTACTTGTCTGAACCATGTTGCCAAGAAAACACTGTTTTTTCAATAAAATTCAAACATGACACAGATAATATGTTTCTCTGTCTTGTGGGTGTGGTGGCACATGCCTATAACAGTCCTTAGGAAAAAAGGCAGGAGGATCGGACAACTGCAAGTTCTGTTTCATGGCAGGGATATACAACTGGACCTGTCTTAAAAGAGACATTGCAGTTTAGTATTACTGAGGGCTAAAACACAATCATTGAAGTGTTTCATGAATTACTTAGCAATATAGCCCCACCCCTCTCCTTTCTTTCTCTCCTGCCCCCCCATTACCCTCCTCTTTGAGAATCACTACTGAATTCCAATTTGACCTTTTGGTTGGGTGTCATACTCTAAAAAGATATCTCATCTTGGCTTTCATGGATTCATTTTCTAAAATGAAAACATTTCTCCAAAATGTTTCATGATCCATTATTGCCCATTTGTAAACTTTGAATTTTCTTTACAGAAATAGATGTGTTAAACAAAAGTTTGACAGCATCTCAGAGAAATAAGGTATGCCTTGAAGAAGAAATGAAAAATCTCAAACTGTTGTCAGATGCAGCCATACTAAGATCTCAGCAGATTGAGACATCTAGACAGCAAGAGGTCAATTTGCAAGCCAGATGCTATGATTTGCAAAAGCAAGTACTAGGTAAAAAGAATTTATGAATTTATTTATTCCTCTTGTTAGCAATAGTCATAAAAGGAAATGTCTGAATGTTTTTCTTGCAATCACAAGGAAATCTTGTTTTAATTAATTTGCTTTGCAAATAACCTTGAAGTGATCTCTGTGTCTGTGGTGGTGGTTTGCCCTCACCCTTTCCGATTTGGTTATCTTAAGAGTTAAGACTTAAGTGGCTGGATATGTTAAAGACATCTCAAATTCAAAGGAAGACTTCAGAAGCAAAGTGGGATTGCCTTTGGTATACAGCCTTGCAGAGAGTGCTAAAGGAAAATACAACTGATGCCCTTACGTAAGGGAAATTATTTTTTTTCATTTTAAAAATTGCACTTCTATAACTTAAATTTTATGAGCAAAGTAATAAAGATTTAAAGACCTAATGTTGAATGTTAAACTAATAATTATGCTCTTCTATATGCTTTTTTTTTTTTTTTGCATGGGGCTTGAACTCAGGGCCTGGGTGCTGCCCCTGAGCCTGTTTGTGCTCAAGGCTAGTGCTCTACCACTCGAACCACAGCACCACTTCCAGTTTTTGAGTGGTTAACTGGAAATGAGAATCTCATGGAAACTTTTCTGCCTGGGCTGGCTTTGAACCACATTCCTCACATTTCAGCCTCCTGCGTAGCTAGGATTGTAGGCAAGAGCCACCAGCGCCTGGTGCACTATTTTCATGTATATTTACATTTTCTGTGAGAAATACATACTTTTTTGTCTTGCAGAGATGAAACTTTATGCCCACTAGATACTGCTTTCTTCTCTCCAATACTATATAGCCACTTTCCAACTTTCTGCTTCTATGAGTTTGATTTCTTTATATATAAGCAAGATTACTTGGTGATGGATTGGCTGTGTCTGTAGATTGTGTGTTTAGGCAAGATTTGATTGATGGCTGTGTCTATTTCTCTTAGCAGGACATTGTCCAGGTTGATCCATGTTGTTTGTTTACTCATAAGTATCACTGGACATGTTGATTGTCCCTGCCTTTGACTGTTGCAGATAATGCTGAGATAAACGTGGTCATGCAAATATTTCAAGACCTTGTTTCGAAGTTTGGCTCTCTACCCAGCAGTCCATGTCTGGGACCTGTGAACAGTGTACTTGCTGTCATCCCAGGGCTGTGTCATTTCACATTCCCACCAGTGGGTATGCAGGGCCTCCAGTTCTGTGCAACTTCCCCAACAGTATTTTCTGTTGGTCATTTGTATAACTTCCTTAGAGCTCTTTCTGTTCAAATCCTTTGCTCATTTTCACAATGCAGTTGTGTGACCTGTGGTTTGATTTATGGAAGTTTTTCATAAGGACTGGATTAAGGGTGACATCCTCCTGTCTCCTGGCAGCCATTTCACCTGGTGATTGTCTCTTTTGATGCACAGACATTTTAAAGTTTGCCACCGTATCTTTGCTTTTGTTACCTGTGCTTTTGATGTTATACTCCAAAAAAATCACCATCAAATTCAAGGTGCTGAAGCTTTTTCCCTCGTTTTTTTTTCTAAATAAAAAAAGATGAGGGCTGGGAAGGTGGTTCAGTGGTAGAGCGCCAGCCTTGAGCTGAAGAGCTGAGGGACAGTGCCCAGGCCCAGAGTTCAGGCCTCACGACTGGACCCCCCCCCAAAAAAAAAAAGAATGATTGTTACTCAAAACTAAATAAAAATAAATTTATCTTCAAATCGATTTTTAAAAAAAGTGAAATTTGTGTTTAGGCCCTTGGGGAAGCTTTGTAAATCATAAGCAAATACTGCCAAACTTTCAAGGAATAGAAGATTGTAATTTTACACAGTATTTTTTTTAAACAACCAGAAATTGGATTCATTTCTTAAGTCATTCTGTAAGGACAGAGAAACACTATTATCAAAACCAAACAAAGAGGCTGAGAATGTGGCTTAGTGGTAGAGTGCTTGCCTAGCATGCATGAAGCGCTGGGTTCAATTCCTCAGTACCACATAAACAGCAAAAGCCAGAAGTGGTACTGTGGCTCATGTGGAAGAGTACTAGCCTTGAGAAAAGAAGCTCAGGGACAGTGCCCATGCCAAGTTCTAAGTTCAAGCCCCAGGACTGGCAAAACAAAACAGAACAAAGAGATGAAAAGAAAGGAAGCCTGTAGGCTTGTTTACTTTGTGAAAGTGTTAATAAATGAAAATGAATCGCATTGCTTTATGCTGAGTACATAATCAACTATTTGGACAGTTCCTTCAAACATGAAGAAAGTGAAATTCTCTGCTTGAGAATCCTTGCAGCTCTGCCTCTAGGCTGTCTTGTTCCCTTCTCGGTCAGGTCACACGCAGAATGGCTGTGGACATCTCATTGCCAGTCACTGTGGTAAGCATTGACATCAACTATCTCAGTTAACTCTCAAATCACTCTGGGAGTGAGACCAGTGTTACCCTTACCATCTAGTGAAGAAATTCAGCTTTAGCCAAGTTAAGTGGCTGTTTCAGGCTGTATAGCCAGAAAGATAGACTATGCCTTAACCACAACAAAGCCCAGGTTAAAAGAATGAAATGCTCCATTGCTTTTGATATGTGTTTTGCAACAGGAGCCATGTGTTTTTGTGTATGGTATTTAACAGCTCTTCCCAATGGAACCTGGCATTTTGGAATCTGGAAACCATTTCTTTAGGGACTTCTCAGGGGACTGAGAATAGGTGGCCCCATTTCCTAATGGGCCCCCATGAAGAAGGGAGTGGGCTGAGTCTGCTCCTCCCCCTCTGGCCTCAGGAAGACAAGCTGTGTACAGGTTTAAGGAGGCACATTTTAAAAAATGACCTCATCTCCAGAGCACCTTCTAACAATGCCAAGCCACCTTTTGGAGAAGTGGGATGAGGTGGGTCTGGCTTTCAGGAAACCCATGTGTCAGACTAGGACCCAAAGTCTTTGTTCTGGCTCCACTGTGAAGTGACATGATTCTAACTCCGATTCTGTGCTTCTGCTTCCAAATTAAATAAATGCTCAGACCTGCACATTTTGTTCCTTTTTTCTTCTCAAACACCACTGAATGACTTCAACTTCAAATCAACAATATAGCATAAAAACTATAATAATCATTATGGTGTACACTAAAAGCTTTTGATTTATTTCTTCCATATCTTCCCTTTATGTATCTTTTGAAATGTAGAGACTAAAAACTTAAATATGTGCTAATTCTGTCTTATATAATAGTGGTGGAAGAGGAAATAATCGATTGTCCATGTCATTATAATCCTTGATGGTAATATTTAATCTCTTGTAGAAAAGTAGACATGAAATAAAAATTTGAGGACTAAAATCTTAGCTCCCTTTTAAAAGATTTGTTTATATAATTTTGGTAATTTCATGTTTAGCTCACACTAATATTACTTCCAAAATGTACAATTTATCTCAATTGATAGTACTCCTCTCAGAGGTCATCATGACCCACAAATCAGTCCACTTAAGTGATTTTCCTTCTACCTGTTAGGATGAAGTGTCCTTTGCTTTTTGTCAGTAGTCACAAATATTGGAAGACAGAGTTCAGATAAATTATTTCAGCATTAATCTCCTTAAATTTATTTGACCAAGCCTCAGATAAAAGAAACTTTTAGCCTGTTTTCTTTCAGTAAGCTGTTTGGCATTATGAATGATATACAGATATTTTCATCAAATTATTTTTCATGTATTAAGATCCTTACTGATTTAAAAAAAAACCAGCCTTACTGAGATATAATTTAAATAGAGTAAAATTCATCTATTTAAGTGTACAAGTTAGCTGTTTTTAAAGGATATGTACCTTGATCTAATTTTAGAATATCTCTATTTTTATCACCCTATGAAGAAATCATTAGTGGCCATCCCCTTATGCGTTCCTCATACCACTAATCTGCTTTATCTCTATAGGTTCGTCACCTCTGGGCATTTCGCACAAACAAAACCATGTACAAGTGGTCTTTTTATCTGTGTTATAGTTCTAATAAAGGAAAAATATTCAAGGAGTGACTCAGTGGGATGGGATTCACTAGTATTTTTGCTTCTGGGACTGTTTATGCCTTTCTAGGCCCTTGGACAAATTATGAATTTCTCTGACTCAGTTATATTGCTTGTAAAATGGGAACAAGATGTCTTTCATTTCTAACCTCAAAACATTAAGGGACTGAACAGTAAAATGGAGTAGCACCTAAAGAGCTACATAAGTATGAAATAGTGAACTGCATTTCACTTAATTTTTTTGGTGGAACTGGGGCTTAAACTGAAAGCCTCATACTTCCTAGTCAAGCATTAGGCCATGTGAGCTACACCTCCAAATTGAACTTCATTTTCAAGGTGTGACAACAAACCAAATGATTGTGTCTAGAATAAAATCATTAGAAATTATTGTTTTTATGTTTTTATTATCTTTAAGTAGTTATACAAAGTAGTTGCCAATCATAGAATTTCTTTAACTACATTTCTCACCCATATCTATAAAATTGGTCAAGTGTTGTAAGCCCTGTAAATTATAATTGTATTCCTGTAATATAAAGTTGGTTTAATGTTCAGAATTCCATATATATATATATGTATGTATGTGTGTATATATATGTGTGTGTGTGTGTGTGTGTGTGTGTGTGTGTGTGTGTGTGTGTGT